TTCAATGCATATTTATTTTAGGACTTTTCTCAATCCTTAGGCTCATTATGAGCCTAGCCTCACTGCTATGCGGCCGGGTGATACGATTGTTTCATTCGATACTCGGTTTGTTCAAAAGGGCCATGTGTTTCATGCGAAAACGTGAGAACATCGGTGAATTGCCGTTTACTGGTAAGTTAATCATCAAAAGTTCTGCATCGATTACCTTAAAAAGAATTGCTATAGTTGTTGTACGCCATTCCGCTCCTGAGGATCCATATCCGAGCGCAGTGACGTCGACAGGATGGGATGAACATTGGGACGAAAAGCAAGCTGTCGAAGATAAAATAGAAGAGTGGAGGCGAAAAAAGGTAGATCTCGGTAGAATTTCTACTAATTTAGAAACCCGTGTATTGTATTTTCCTCATCAGACCGAAACGAATCAGTCGTCGCCGACCGGCGAAGATATTGATTTCTTCAATGATATGCAGCCTGAAATAAAGAAACCGAAGAAGGTGCGTGCTTCAGTCATTTTTCCCTCAGATTTATCACTTCTCATTATTTATCTATGTAGGTGGTCTTGAGACCAAAAATGCCCGGCCGCAATTCTCAAGAAAATAGGAATCTTTTTGGATACACGGACGATTCACATGTGGATGTGGTAAGTACTTGATATAGATATTTATTGCATAGTTGTTGAGAAAAACGAAAACTAATGTAACTATATAAATTTGTATCTATGAGAGGCGATTGTTTGATTTGCGGCTGAAGCAATCAAGGCCAAGTCGAACTTCTTCTGTTGTGCATCCTTTGCTGTTATGGCTAGGTTCGTCCAACTGAAATGTATAGTTTGTTGTGCAGACAGGAAATTGATGCGGCTTAATGACTTTGTAAGCTTATATTTTTTGCATTCGTGCTTTACCCCATCATTATCAGGGCAGAGTCTTGTCAGTCCTGAGGCGGCTCTTCCTGTAAGGCTGGTTGGTCACCTTTTTACCTTACTAATTATCTGCTATATTGTGTCAAGTTCCTATTCTGATTTCGAATTCTGTTACATGCTCTACCTGCTGTTTTTCTGACTTAACACGTTGACGACTGTGTGCATATGCTCGTATGCACGCTCGGACTCCCGTTTGGCATTTTCGTGCATACGCACGCGTGCACGCTAGTTTTTCAGGTATAAACGAAAATAAGGTAACTTCTATGCAGTAATGCTAGTAGTGGGCTGATCATATAGAACACATGTCATCGCAGCAGCAGTTTAGAAGTTTAAACCACAAAACTGGGTGTTCAGGCCCCAGACATAGTCAGTGCATGCTTTACTGGAGGCAAAGCTATACAAAAATCTTGAAATTATAATTCCTGCAAGTCCCTGTGATATACATGCATTTCTGGAAGAAACCCGCATGTTTTATGAACAAGTGTCAAAAAGACTCCCACATAATATTTTCGTGCATAC